TAAGAGGATTAATCACTTCATATCAACTGTTCAAGGTAACACCAGTATCTTCTAGCCAAGACAAATGTTCACTACGATGAAGAAGCAAAGTTCTGAGTAGTACCAAAACTCACAACGTCACAATGTAACACCAAGTCTGGATATAGAGACCCGCAATCTGGAACCTCACATTCGAAACCCAAAACTTAAAATCCAGAAACTGAAACCTGAGACCCTATAGAAAGACAAATGACAGATTCTTCTAATCCTCTAATCTTCTAATATAATTACAAAATACGAATACGACCGAATCCATATTACAAAATAACTTGACAATGTGAAATAAAACTCACCCTTAGCAGGAGTCAAATAGTCCTTCAAGAATATATACCAAGGCAAACGCTAAGGCTGTCCAGTATAAGCACAAGGAGAATTCAAGAACTCCCAAGATACAGCTAGGCTCTACAGCGCAAGATGGCGTGTAAGAACCAGACGATCAAGAAGAAAAGTTTGACGTCATATGCGATGATGACGAAGCGACAAACAAATAAAATACCGCAAATGACATCATTACCTGTTGATGAAAGCGGCGCTATTTGAAAGTGAACATGTTTACTATGCAACTAAATAATTAGTTTCGACATATCCTATAAAAGCATTATAAGTATTATTTCAAACATAAATAAAATTAATTGTAATCTTTTTTTAAATCAATGTTAGGCGATCTCCCCCACCCACTCGGCCGACCGCCCCCCCCCCCCCCACGAGCTAGTAATTCTTTTCTCAGCGATATACACCAACTGCTGAATTTCTATGAAGACAGCCATTTTTGATGTCAGTGTCCATTCACCCAGGTTTTTGAAGTTTCTACTAAGTTACGAATAAGACAGTGGTACTGTAAAAAAAAGAATACGTTAACTTCTGCCTTGTTCCCAATTCTTATATTCGTAATGTTAAAGAAATATATATTTAAAAGGTTTCATGCAGTCCGTTGTATTTTGATCATAATGGACTTTGGTACGTACGTTCTGTTCTGTTAAACTGGACTATCTTTTGAATGAAACGAAAGTACTAGGTCATATACATTGCTACATACAGTTAAATAGCAGTGACTCTTCTTTTACAAACAAACTGTTAAGATAATATAATTGATTCGTTAAGAAAAATTTATCAAAAATGACAACAGAATATATTTTTAAAACAATCTGTTTGGGTTTATTGATGACTTTGTTCTTTGTTTAATATCAAGTAAGATTTTACTATTTAATAATAATAAGGCTTGTCTTAAAGTCCGAAGATTAATCAGGAATGTAGTGTTTCCGTGGCTACGCAGCCACGGATGTGACCTACCTATTTTGCCACATCTAACGCAGGCATAACCATTGTCCGTCTGTGGTCGATTTAGATTTTCATTACGCCGTTTACTTTTGAAAATGCTTATAATTGTGTAATGGTATCAATTAGTTTGGATCAGTAATTTAATTAAGTTTATAATAAAATCTAGACTAACAACAATCAGTGGCGCCACTAGGGTGGGTGTCACCCGGTGCGGTCATCTCAGGGTTTCACCCCCCCCCCCTTTAAAAAAATCCTTTTCCCCGTGTGTGTGTTGCGCTGTCCTACAGAGAGAGTTGGTCAGTTGTTGGTTACAATACAGAGAGAGTTGGTCAGTTGTTGGTTACAGTGTATCTATAGTTCACTGGGTTTGCGTAGTCAGGTGAAGCTCTACAAGCATCCTTAATCTTCAGAATCGACACAAAAAAAAAAAAGATTCTATAGTAAAAATCCTTATTCACATGACGCCATAGATAAGCAGTTGTTAAGAAACGGTTAAAATTCTGTCGCCCATCTCTTACAATTATAAAGAAGATTGCTCACAACAATCATGACTATATTTAGTCAGGAAATGCTTAAGACGTAATTATCTTAGCTTTTAAAGTGACGTCTGTAATTTATAAAATGTATAAGATAAGAAGATATACATTGAAAATAAAACATTTTTTTAATTCTAGTTTGCCCGACACACAGCGCCACCGAATGGAAATGTTGACGGTCAATATGGTGCTGGGTTAAAAATTGAAATGTTAGTAAGAGTTTTTCTATAGTTGTTGCAGGTATGTGTTCATGGAGAGCGGGTGCTGTTGATTTGAATATGAGTTTCATCAACTGATAGTTCAATTAGAGTTGAATATTTTGGTAAATATCTTGGTAAATATCTTGGTAAATATCTTGGTAAATAAGGTTCAAATATGTGTTGCCTGAGAGAAGATAAAAAAAAAATCTAAGCATTTGTTAAGCTAGTGATTCCCAACGTGGACTACTGAGACTTCCAATGGGTTTACGAGAGTAAAAAATAAATAAAATTGGAGGTTTATAAGATAGTGGATTTTTCAAAAAATGGAAATCATGTCTTCTGATTTCAAGAGATTATATTTCCTTTCCGATATTGTTGTATTTCACCAGAAAATATCTAATAGTTTTTCCATCTTTATATATAGAATCTAGGTTTTAGCATGGTTGCCAATCTTCTAATTAAAAAAAAAATCACTAAAGAGAAGTTGTAATATTAAACCTAACTAGCTTGAAGCCCAATATATATATATATATATATTGTTACGGCGGTTACTTCCAAATCCCAAAATCAACTGTTCCGCGAACTGGTCGGCCTTTTTGAGAAATGACCATTATAGCTTCGCATTGAATGGCCAATTTGCGAAATGGATAGCCATTTCGAGTTTGGTGAGCCAGCTCGTGAAGTGGCATGAAAACTATTCCAACTTTTTTGGCCTATCAAAAAAGTGTAAGCTAATATTAGGAATTGTACTAATAAATGTATATCTTAGATACTTATAATATAATCAATGCTTTATAGGAGCATATCGAGCTATCGAAAAGGAATACACAAAAGTAAACCTTAAAATAATTATCGAAATGAAATATACAAATAAAACATCCATCCATCTCAGTGGCGCTACAGCCCATGGAGGGCTCTGGCCTGCTTCAAAACATCCTTCCATTTAGATCTCTCCTGCTCCTTTCGACTCCACGCCCTAACCCCAAGCTGTTGCAGATCTGCTTCCACATCATCAATCCATCGCATTCGGAGTCTTTCTTTGGGTCGCGTGCCTTTTGGTTTTTGCCTGTATACGATTTTCGCTCTTCTGTTATCTGACATTCTTTCAAAGTGACCTGCCCAACGTAGTCTGCTCTTTTTTATTTCAGTATCCTTTATTTCTTTAACACTTCAGTAAGTTAGGCTAGCGCACCTGCTCTATAAAGGCTTAGCACGTTCCATGCCGCAAAACAAAAATCATGTCCTTTTCCAGGCCTAGGTCGTTTTCCGTTGAGATCATTCCGGATCTTGTGTGTAACAGTATTTTTTATGATATGACAGAGTTGTTAGCCCTTTGCATAACCATCTGGGAGCTGCTCCTTTCAATTCTCTGGAAAGCTGCCTTTATTTTCGGGTAAGCTCCATTTCCTGCAAGGCAACAGGTTTGATTTTAGTCCACCCCGGGTATTTTATTTCCCCGGTACTGTCGCAATTATCTATGTAACTGTATAGTAGAATTATTTCTCTATTTGATAGTGCGGCGTTGATCACTATATTGATGACGTCATTACACTATTTCTTGTGTAGACTGGGGGAATGAACTTTTGTTGCTTGTCACAACTTCTAGTGACATAAAGTTAGTGTGTGTATGTGATTTGCGTCATTTATCGTCAAGTACAGTCTCTCCATCTTGTGCTGTATAGAGGCAAGACATGTTTTGAGAGCTCTTGAATTTCTCCTTGGTTATTGTTACTGGATAGCCTTAACGTTTGCCTTGGACATTTTCTTGTTGGATTATCTTGACCCCTGTTTAGGATGAGTTTTATTTTTTATGGTTAGTTTTTCTATTTGAATCCGTTCGTATTTGTAAGTCTATATTTAGACTGGATCTAGATGATTAGAAGAATCCTTTCTTTTATCTTCTATAGGGTTTTAGCGACAAGTCTAGGTTTTGGTCGTAGCCTCAGTCAAGACTCTATTTCAAGTTTTTGGCGTCAAGTCTAAGTAGTGATCTTAGCTTGGTGTCAAGTCTATGTGTAAGACTCAGTGTCAAGTCTTGGTGTCAGGACTTGTTTATCCAGTCTCAATTTTATATATTGAGAGTACAACTTTAGGTCTACAGTCTACAGGACTGAGGTCTTCACCTCACTAATGTCAATTAGTCGTTTGGTGTTCAAGTTGACTTTTTCATGAGTCTGAGGTTCAAGATTTCAGATTGCGGGTTGTCTTGGTCAGACCTGATGTTACAGTAGGAACTATAAACTTTTAGAATTGTCGTCAGTGAACAGTATTAGATCTAGAGGCCGGATCTATGTGGATTACCAGTTGTTGTGTTGGAAGTCTATTTGAACAACTTATGATGAATATATCAAGGTAATGATATTGTTTAAATAATGATCATTTATATGTCACAAAGAAAATAACTGGATTATGTTAGAGTACATATATTACACATATATTTATTGATATTGATACTATTATTATCATTCATCATACATCAGATCATTTGTAAATATATATCATTAGAATAAATGTTTATTGTTATTTAACATCATACACTTGGTTTATTAATTTATTATATGACTGTATGTGTATGGTGTGCTTGTCAGGCTGAACTTGGGCCAAAATATTATAAGTTCAGAAAAGAATAACAATAACTAAAATTGAGGTAATAGTTTGATAGGTACAAGAAAAACAAGAACCTGACAGGTACCTACCATATCTGGAGGGCATTCCCGTATCCGCCACCTGGGGAGGCGCTCGATGGGAGATCAAAAAACTCCACACGAGATGCAAATAAAACTCCATCATTAAATCTTGTGATCTGTTTAAACTTTCATCACAACTTTGTTTTATTATTTTGTATGCTTTTAGTATCTGTGCCATATCATGTAAAGATGGGTTTCAATTTGAGAAGACCGATTCCAAAGACTTTGTGTTTCCTTGTGATGTGTTCACTGGATTCTTTGATAAAGTCATCACGCCTGATTGCATTCGTAAGTTGCTAGAATAGCTATTAAACACAGTGGCATTTCGAAAGTAAATCAATTGTTGAATTATATGATCATCTTTTGCGAAAACCATATTATTTTATCTTTTATAATACATACGTTACTTCCAAAAGAAGATGATTACGTCCTACGCGTCATGATAACAAGTTTAAATCTGTGGGACGCGCAACGGACAAGTCTGCTTTTGGATATTTTTCGAGAATCCTTGCCTGAACACAGTTCTGAATGCTACCCATCACGGGGGCAGCCATCGTAGCCTTGGCCGAGTAGTTTGTCCCTGTCTAGACTGTACTTAATGTATTCGCTGACAATGACATTAGACACAAGCATGCGTCTCTCTTAAGCAATAGCGAGAAAACCTATTAATTCTTTTTGAATACAATCGCCATCAACAATTCCAACTCAAACACATCAATTCAGTGCCAGAGATATCTGCATTTTCATTACTGAAATACCAAGAAATCGAAGTTAATTCATACTGTTGCCAGTTCTCCGTCGATACAAATCAACGTTTTGACTCAGATGGCATGGGAAGAACTTTCTTACATCTCTTCTATCTTAAATTGGTGAACATGTTCAACCTTCTATTTTATCGAGCGCTAACACTGACTGCAACTCCTCAAGACGTAAATACATGTACCAAGGGGACTGCACTCCTCAATCTTGTTTAAAGAAACTTTCCCATATATCAAATCGAAAGATAGCTGGCAATGATTTGTCCTCCAAGACTTAAAAGAAAAAAAAACTTGTATCATATTCTAAGCCTTTACTAAATATAATGATATATATATATATCTTTCGTGATCGAAGACGAGCACATTTCTCATTTTCTATGGACTCGAAGATGACTTTAAAGTCTAATCCTTGCTTTAAAAACCCGGCCCCATACATGGCATGGATGGGTTTGGTATATAATGATAACTACAATATCGTGCAAGTGAAAACAAATTGTCAGAACTAACATGCTATAGAATATTGAATCGCAAGCTATAATAAAGCGCACTTGGTCGGATATGAACTACAGATTAGCCTATTCTAGTTTATTACAATAATAGCTTATTTTTATTAACTTTATTTTAGTGGAAGCACTACATATTAAGTTGCTTCTTAGCAGAAGGTAATTGATTTGAAGATTTTAAAAACTGGCTAAAATTTGGTTACTCAAAATACAGAGGGGTGCATGTACATGGTCAGCCATCAATTCCTGATAAGCCAAGGCTAGTCTACTACAACTATACTTCAGTCACCAGTGGAAGCACTACTTGTTTAGTTGTTAATTAGATTTTGATTGATCTGATGGTACAAAAGATGGGTAGAATTTGGCTGCCCAGAATCCCCGTGCGGGCGCTCATGTCTGTAAACCTTATAGGAAAATGAAGACAGAGACGACGACAGTAAACCCTGCATGCAAGGGCTGGAGAACCTGAGAACTAAGGCGGACATTTCGGTTTCTTGTGATCGTCTTACGCCTGTAAAAAAAACATCTTTGACCTCCTTCCTTCATTGAGTCCCCCCCCCCTTCTCAGATTCGTTGCATAAATCTCAACTGTGTGCTCCTGTGATACGCACTTAGGATTTATGTATTGTATTATTTATCATATCCTATTCCTTTTGAAAATTCTAAAAGAAATGCTTATTGTACTTTTGTTATTATTTATAATCAGTAAAAAAAAAAAAAAGAAGGTACACGAGAAAGTTCAAGAACTAAGAAGAGTACACCTTCTATTTATTTAATGGACCCAAATAGTTTTTATTAGATTTTCCATGAGTGTAAAAAAAAGGCTGTTTTTCTATTTCCTACAGCGATACATAGATCTACATTGGTACCACCATTGGGGTAAGGTAGAGATGACGCGGGCACGCTACACTGCCTCATCGTGGCGTCCGTGTGGAAACGACCATTAGAGGAAGTGGTTAGGCTAAATGGGTAGCAGCACAAGACTCCCGTGGGGATGCCCACGGGTAGACGAGAGTCCACCCATTGCACGGGCGGGGTTGCAAAAGAGTCCCCACAAATCTGTCACACATCCATGCGCTGTTCCTCAAGGGACCGTTACACAGAATGGCGAGTCCCCCACGGTTGGCTTGGTATAACAAAGGAAAATGGCGGAGGCTCCCGGTGTCCTCGGCCTTCGGCCATGTGCAGCCAAGCATGCGTCGGGGGCCAAAGGCATCGGAAATAGCAATGCTTTACATAGGCATTGACTCGGGTCTCTCTCAAACAGAACTGTGCGTTCACACAGATTTGTTTTTTTTTACTGTTTGGCGTCCAAACAGGTTTTTTTTTCAAACTTAGGGCTCGAAGAGCCTTCGGCTCAGCCCTTGGACATCAACAAGGTAGAGATGAAAGGTAGAAATAAACAGGGGGAGACAAGTTGTACAGAAACACGATTTGGAAAGTATTAACATCTGAATTATATTTATTTTATTATATTTTTTAAACCTTAGAACTATTTACAAATTCAATATAATCATTAAAAGCTGTATTTGAAACATAAATAATTGTGTTATAATTAAAATGTCTTTTTCTACGTATTTACTAAAAGCTGCCAAAATGTCACTGTCAGATACTAAATCACTTTTTATGTTTGAAAATCCTCTGATATACAAAGTTTAAACAGGAAGAGGATTGTTAAGACTAATAGCCTAGTAAACTTCAAATGGCCTTGCAGTATTAATACTTCAGGAGACAACCTCAAGAGTAGGTCTACTTATACGCTCGGATTATCCACTAAAATATTCCCTATTCCCCCCCCCCCCCCCCTCCATACGCATGATCTCCCTATCTAAAGAGATCTGGGCGAATCCATTGTCTGTCGAGACAGAACAAGCCATAATCTATATAGATTTGCTTTGATAACGAAGATTTAGTGAAGTATTTCCCCCGACCTACCAAAGCCAGCTATAATCCGCATACCTTGTCATATTTAATGCAGACAAAGAAAAAAAAATCAAAATAAACAAGATATATTAAGATTAAAAATACATTTGTGTGTCTCTATACAAGATCCAATTATCAGTTAATAGAATAATTCATTTAAAACAATTAATTATGTTTTAAAATAGTCATTAAATAGCTTTTAAAAAAAGTCGTTCTATTTTATTTATTGTATTTAGTATTTAATGAAAAGTTAAAAGATGAAGAAACATTTTGCTTACTTAGCGGGTTGGACCGAGACCGGTCGTTATAGATGGCCTGACAACTGACCTGCAACGGCGCAACATGTGGGCCTTAGAGACCAATAGATCAACGAGAAAGCAGGAATTTAAATCAGTAAACAAAATGTGTTTCTTCTAGTACAGTCACACAGTTCTAAAGTTCCATGTCATGACAATTGAAGTTCTAGTATTTGAATACATGCCATTTCAACATTCTGTCTTTTTTCTCAATTTCCCTTGGCCCTAGTCGCGTCTTAAATCGTGTCAAATATGAACATAATAATTGAACTAGAACTCTAAAATCATCCACAATCATTACAACGAAAAGTTTCAGCGCTTTCATCGTCATTATCATCAGAACTTAAAAAGGTTTAAATCCGCTCTTGTAAAAGCCCTGTACAGAAACTCTGCTTTCTAACGTAATGTAAACATGTCACCATACAGGTCGAGAATTTTTGGTTTCACAGACCAGTCGAGACGGAGATCAGCAAGTCTGGGGGGGGGGGGGGGGGGGAGGCAGTCAAACAGAATATGATACAAGGTTTTCTCTTTTTCCACGCAGCGGAAGCACCGTGAGTTAAAAGTTAGCCATAACCGTGTGAAATTTGAGCCGACTGGGCAATGGCCTGTCCTACATTGTGCTATTATAGCTTGCTCTGGCTAGAATAGCCTCCACCACGGGGAAGCGAGGTCAGGACGCCTCATGTGCTCCCAGATTCTGCGGGATTTTGGGACTTGTAATCAGAGCCTTAGATCTCGACACTTGGTTTCTTCGAAGTAGACATATTAACCTTTATAGCATATCATTCTTTTCTTCCATTTTTCAAACAAAATAATATGTAACATCTTTTGTATTAGCAATTAGACCAGCGGTTCTCAACCTTTTTTAGTTTCGCGACCGCTTTTTGAAATTGGGCGACACCCAACCGTAAAATCGTATGTTTTTGCTGATGTTAAAAATTGTAATCATGATTAAATTTTTGTGTATGGATTGCCAGAGCTTCATTACAAATGAACGTTTTTCTATTTCTGCTTTAACTATTGAAATAAAACCAAAGTGTCAAAAAATCGTCATTATATTTTATTTTTTCGAGCTCTATTTTCATGATTTGTTTCATAATAAAATTATTACCTTTAATAACATGATGGCGTAGAACTAATTATAAAAGAATATACTTTTAAATTGCATGCGTTAATCTTCACCATAGAAATATTATCTAGGATTCAGCGATGGCGTAGCGTTCCATTTCATCTAGCCATTTGATGGACAGTTATTTAAACTGTTACAAATATTTCTCTGGCAACAATCAAAATGCATGTAAAGATTCTGATATAGTTGTTAGTAACATCTATCTTCGAATGACAATTTAGGAAAAAAACTGTAACTACGCATGAAAACCTTTGAACAATGACAAATGTTTTAGACACACAAAAATATATTTTTCCAATGGTCTTAGGCGACCACCGGAAAATCGTCAATCGACCAAGGGGGTCGCGACCCAAAGGTTGAGAACCCCTGAATAAGACTGTCGTAATTAAAAGGAACTAAACACTTTTAAGACACGACAAATAGTGTTCAGAATACTGGCGAATAGAATTTTTCCCCAGGAAACTGTTTTATTACTAGAAAACTTAAATCATGGAACTAGAATCTATATTGCACACCGAAATCAACAGTACGCAATATCCATGAATCGTTGTAGTCATTCTATGAAATGGATTTACAGACACCAAGATTACAAAGAGAGTTTGTGTGAAAACACAAAACTTAAGACTCGGCCACCGAAGCGGTCCACTCAGGCAGGTATAAAGACAGGTTTCAACATATTCAGCAAGAATATCAGAAGCTGTAAAATTAAAACTATCAACAACCCGGTCTGCGCCAATACCAAAAAAGTAGACAATTGAAAGTGTTGCCCATAACATTTTATTGTTAGTCCGACTGACGACATGATACCATAGGAAAATGTTAATCATTAATGTTGCTATTATTACATTGTTAATGGTCATATGTATTCAATGATTGAATAAGAAAGTATGTTTTAATTGGAATTGGAAATAAAGTTTTTCTTATACTGTATTATGTAACTGTTGTGCAGCACATTGCACGCCATATGAAACACTGCTTGTTATATGATGTTTCAAATTATATTTGTTTTATATACCTATTCAAGGCCACATTTATCTTTTACAACAAAAGTAAACACTTTATTTCAAATATAAGTAACTTGTATACGTAACAGGAAACAATAAAATTAGCAATTCAAATATTGTTAGAACATTTTTTCAGATAACAAAAGGTTACATAAATATTTGAACAATATATCGCAAATATGTGAAGAGTTGTAAAATTGATGTATTTTTATGAAACTGCTTGAACATTTCAGGTATTATTAAACGATTGGATTTCAGAATATAGAAACATACAAAATATTTAAAAAAAAAAAAAAAAGCTTATACAAAGTACAATTGTATCAATTAGTTGGGGTCAGTCATGTAATTAAATTTGTTATAGATCTAGACAATAAATCTGTTCGATTAATAATATTTTTACCAATTGTTTTAGTTTAGCGCTATTTCATGCTTTTAGCTTTCTCACTACTTTATAATCCATAATCCTATCACATCTCTGGACCTGTTGGGGAAATGGGGGGGGGGGGGGGGGGGGAAGAATGGGATATCTAAATGAAATTAACAGTAACCGTTTTTAAAAGCAATTATAAAAAGGGGGAACGACCTAAATTTCAACTCACGACTCAAAACACCTCAAGATGACATTCTAGCCCCATGACTAGTGAGATGAGTATAAAAATAGTATAGTTATATATTGTTTATTTCAAAGTTACTTTAAAGCGGCGACCCATAATGGGGACTAATTCAGCTTACACCACCAGCTCAGTCTATTACAATTTCTTTCCCTGTTCGAGATACCAAACAAAATAATTAATGACAAATAGTTAATTAACTAATTGTTTTGTGTGTGTGTGTGTTGTTTTTTTTATACTTGTGTTGTCATAAAAATTAACACTTGTGCAAACTTTCAGCTTTTTCCGAGATTGAGTGTGGGAGAAATAACGTGTAGAAACTTTTACCAGACAGACAGTTGATATAAGCTTTTAATGACAACAACTAGTTAAAGAATCTCCCCCAAATCGGCCTACATATAAGAAAGGTAGCTTACGCTTGTTTTTGCTGTAGCATTTATAGCCCCTGCTGTAATTTTGTTTACCTAATTTCCAATTTTTAACGTTATGTAACGCTAATCTTGTATTTACAAAATTATCAGTTACTTTCACTTAAATAAAAATCTTATAATCAAAATTATTTTTAAAATTCCATTCATTGGTCAATTGCTCTAATAACTATTTAGGCCTACGCAGTACACGATAAATATGTAGGCGTTTAGAGAAGCTGCTGTTAA